GGCATTCTAAAGGGCCCCAGACTAAACAGAAACCACCAACGTGTCATTGAGGGAATGTATTTGCAGGGGTCTTGTACATAAGATACTGTGTTTCTAAAACTAGAACAAAGTAACATAGACAAGCTGGAAGAGAGGAGTGTAGAGTAACAAATATGATCCTAAAGTTCAAAAATGTCTACAAAAAATGTTGGAAGAGTTCGTGTTGTTGAGAAAACAATATTCAAATATGGAAAAGGTCAGAAAAAGGAGGGAGCCATCAGACTCACTCTCCATATTCATTTATAATTGGATGAGATGTAACAGGCTTATTACAGCAAAAAAGATTCAGGTAAGACATTGGAAAATCTTTCTAACTACATAAAGATGGGTAGCGGAACGGATTCCCATAATCTTTCTAAGCATCTCCATCGTTGGAGTTTTTTAAGAATAGATTAGACGGACATTTAAGCTGATCTGTATAGACAGTCCTGCCCCAGAGGAAGGATGAAACTGTATGTCTTGAGACCCAACTGTGCCTACACTTTTTTTTTCATGATATGTAGCCAGACTATTTTTTCTAAATGTATTCCATCATTTGTATGTAATGCAATGCCAAACACACTAAAATGAGGCTGCTTAAAGCGTGTATGGAAACAAACCGATTAAACCGATTTTTATGTTTTTCCACTCATTATGGAGCTGTCATGCTGAGGCAGAATACAAAATGGTGTGTGGCATGAATGCTCATTATGGGGGGAAAAAAAAAAATTCCAGTGTTTCCATTTGTAATGGAAAATGTTTTCTGGTAATAAAGCTTGCATTTCCACAGTAGTCTTCTACTGGGAGTTTCTAAGTACTTTCAGAAATGTTCTTAGCGCCCCTGAGGCACTTTGTGGGGCGAGACCCCATCCGTGCAGCTTCACGCTGGAGACGGAAGCCCCGAAATGTCCAGTTCGAGTTCTAAAACCTGCCGTCTCTCAGCAGGGCCGGGCCTGGCCTCCTCCCGGTGCAGCTCATCCCCTCTTCTGTGTCATGCTCTCTCAACGTCACTGTCGCTTGTCAACTCGCAGAAATGTCTCTGTGCTTTCATCAACACTTAAACATGGGGTACCATCCTACATGACAGGGGTAAGTCTAGAATTATCGCCCTTTCCTGAAGACATCTACCAACACACCTATAAAGAGCAAGCAAGTTACAGGGACTTTTGTAAGACAAAAGGTAGCTGGTATTTGTTAATACAAAAAATAATTAAATGTATATATTATACATAATTTATAGATAAATTTACATGTGTTTATATAAATAAATATATAAAAATAAAACAATTGTATTCCTTTGATCTAGTCTCCTATCTCATCTCTCCGTAGGACAGAGACCGAGGGAGACTTTGTATGTGTTTGTACAGCACGTTGGACCAAAGAGGCATCGACCATGGCAAGAATCTCTCATCGATAGTAATTAAATGAATGATATATCGCACGTTTGTGTCCTAATGCTACAGTCATATACTCTGGAAACCTGAATTTGCATAATGGTTGTAACCTTGACATGGTGCTTGTTTAGGTATTTTCAAAAATAATTATTTAACAGTTATTGTTTGACACAGCTCTGTAATTCTTGTTCGACTGTTTTACATGTCTGCTTTATGCTAACGACGAATACTTGGGCGATGCAACAAATAGTAGTCGCTGTGTGGATTAATACTTCTCCATGTTCATATTAATTTCATTCGGCAAGTTCTCAGAGGTAAATACATTACAGTAAATCTGTCTGTTTATATACAGTCGGCTGAACATCAAGATCAATCTGTTAAATATCTGTATGAAAAAAATAAAAGTGTTTGCCTGGTATCAGGTGGATTCACTTTCTATAAAACCTTAACTTAGCACCAATATGCCTTATACCGCCCTTCAACACCGCACTTTGCGGTATCACCGTTAGAGGCAACAGCAAAAAGTATTTACACAATATAGGGAAAAACCCTCCAAACTCTCTAACAATGAGAATAACCTTAGCCAAGGATATTTCTCTGAGAATTAATAACTAGCTGGGGTTAATGGTCACTGGCTTCACCTTAGGCCCTCAATTAATCCCTGAACCTCAATTGTTATTACCTAATTGACTTAGTTTCATTTCATTTTAACATTTCAAAGTGATCTTCCTAAAATCGCACTGACAGAGTAACGCGGTCTCTGTAGATGTGCACTGACATGGTTTCAATATTGTTACTTTGTCTCCATGCACTTGCATTGACATTTCATTTTGTTTTGACATCGCAGTGCCACATCTATGGATCTGCGCAGATGACATGCGGTTGTTCAGATTAGGTGAAAGCCTGTCCAGGAGCGGGGGCAGGCTAACATCTTACAGAGGGCACCATGCCAGCTAAAAGCTACTAAGCAGAACTATTGGTATCATTGTGAATGACTCTTATCATTGCGAATATGGTTTGTACGTTTGTAAAGGGAAGAAAGTCAGATAAAATTTCACTTGAGATCTTGCTGTTTTTCGTAAAAAACAAACAAACAAAACCCTTTTCACTTAGATCAGCTTAAAAACCCAGCCTGAAAAATGCACCAGGTAACGTATTTAAAAAGAGATTTTTTGATATTACCATTTCACGCTTATGTGAGGCTGCAAATAAATAATGCAAACCTCCAATAACTATGTTCCAATAACATAGCATCAATGCAAGTAGCTGAATACTGTAAGATGCAACTCTAAACCATGAAATCCTTACAAAAATAGGGCACCAAAATTAAGTCTTTTTATTATGTGGAAAAGTTTTCAAGAAGTCTTCTGAAGCTCTTTGATCCAGCTTTGAAATAATTTTGGTAGATTAGTATTGTACGAAACCCATAATTTATAGTGGCTGACCTAAGCTGCTCTTTGTATAACAGCCATATATGAAACAATAGCAGGAAAGTGAAAAACACAAGGGGAACTAAAACTGCTCTGTTTATTATTTAGCTCATAATTACATCTTCCTTATTTAATCTTTTGAATCCTGGCATGTTCTTAATAATACAGGTTCAAATAATATTTACTATACACAGGAGAGTTAGTTTTGAGTAACGCATTTAGACTATCCAAACTTTGTGTAACTTGTGACCTTTCCCTAACCTAAGCGAGGTCTATTTTATACAGATCGTACTAGATAGACGGTTTCTCTATAAATGGTGAAGTTGCTGCCAAGCTCCCATTGTTAGCTGGTTCATTTTTCAACAGGCACACTCTGGGTTCCTATCACACCACTGTAAAGAGCAAGCCCTTGAGGTTTCTTCTTTTGTCAACGTAATAAAACAGTTATTTCTGAATAACCTGCAAATCCACAACAAAGGGCCCTTTGTGACTTAGAATACCACGATAGGAGGAATTTTTCGTTTGTTTTTGCAGGCAGCCTCCTATTTTATTCCATAATATTAAATTAATACTTGAGCAGCATTTGTTTTAACATATTCATAATCTCATCCTCGAAATAACAAAAGCATGTTTCTAACAACTGTTATTCTCGCTCCGTATTCACTGCCTAACTGCAGAAGACCCCTTCAGAAGCTATCTAAATAGCGAGACTACTTCAGCTGAAGTAAAAGGAAGAATCGAGTTCAATTCTGTATACTTTCTGTTGACCTTGAGGAGTCGTAATTGACTCTGGTAAATAAGAACAACCTGTAGGATGTACAAGCTTTTGCCGGAATGACTGCGGTTTGAAAACAGGGAGCTAGCCATCTTTTCCCTTCTGAGCCAAGTAGATTTTGGCACAGGAGGAAAGCTAAACTTTTGACTTCAACAGGCCTTCTTGCAAAAGTGCTACGCAGCCTAGGCATGAACTCGCAGAAAGCAAGTCTCCTGAATGAAAGAGATCGCTGTAACAGCTGAATTCCTAATACTGGCCATGCCTATTTTCTAGTAGCACAGATGCACTCTTAACTTAGTCCTTTGTACAGCTCTACTCTCAATACAGGAGTGATTATACTGCACTAGTGCTCTGCTCTGTGAACATTCCCAGCCTGCAGAAATGACCTATATTTCAAACCATGAGAATGAAGAGAGCATCACAATGCTTCTCTGTTACAACGCAGTGTGGGAATTTGAGGACAGTCTGCCTGGTACCTAAAGCTGCTATTTAAATTAGAGTAAGAACAAAATTGCTTGAGATGGTGGGTCAGCCCAAATGCATACAGAACTGGAATCAGCACCCTTCAGATGTAGTATCGGAAATGGAAGCAGGCAGTAGAAAACATAGGACAGACTTTTCAAAGGGGAAACAAGGGCAAGTTGGAAGATACTGAATAAATAAATGTGAAATGGTTAAAAAAGATGGAAAATTAAAAGCGGAGGATTTAAAGGCAAATGGAAAGAGCCATGAACGTTCTTCTGTAGTAGTCTAGATGGTGGAGAAATCCAAAAGTAAATACCAGGAAAGAATGACTTTTTGAATGAGTGAATATAACAAAATAGGATGAAAATTATTCATGAACTATCAGTACTATTACTATGATAAAATAGTAATGAGGTAAGAACAGTAAGACATTTCGTCCTTTTTCTTCAGCTTTAGAG